AATCTGCCTGTCTCAGCCTCCCAGTGTTGGGATTACAGGCATGAGCCAGCGCACCTGGCAAAAAATTGAAAATATTGGATAAGAAGCAGATTTATGTGGTGGCTCACCTCTGTAATCCCAGCACTTTAGGAGACCTAGGTGGCCAGATCACTTGAGGTCAGGAGTTTGAGACCAGCCAGACCAACACGGCGAAACCCCATCTCTACTAAAAATTCAAAAATTAGCTAGATATGATGGTGGGTGCCTATAATCCAAGCTACTCTGGAGGCTGAGGCAGGAGAATCGCTTGAACCCAGGAGATGGAGGTGGCAATGAACCAAGATCGCACCACTGCACTCCATCCTAGGCAACAGATCAGGACTCCTTCTCAAACAAACAAACAAATAAATAAATAAATAAAGATTTCTAGACGTTTCGAAGAAAAGAACTTGCTAGATGCCAAGGTGGGTGATGAGTTGGGCAGCTAAAAAGGGAAGAAAGTGAGTAAAGTTGCTCGGTATTATAGGACTCCATGGAGGTTGTATGCTGGGAGCTCAAGAGGCATCATTCACATAGTCTCCAGGGTTGGCAAGCACTACTGTATATGGCGGCTCTGGCAGAGAAGTATTGGGAAAATGAGTAATTGGAAAGAATGAATTGTGGGCCAGAGAAGCTTGGGCTTCATCCTGTAAGAAGTGGGGAACTATAGCAGTTTCTTGAGAAGAAAAGGTAAATGATAGTGATGTGGCTAACCATACCAGCTTTGGAGCTAGATAAAAATTTGTTTGATTTTTTAGCTATACTTCTTACTAGTTAATATGATTTGGGGAAAGTTACTTAAGTTTATTAAGCCTCAGTTTTCTCATTTGCAAAATGAGTATAATAATATTTTCCTTGTAGAATTATGGTAAGTAGTATTTGAGACAGTGTATGTAGTGCTTGGCACAAAGTAAGTGGTCAATAAACGGTGTTTGATGATAAGTGTTTCCAAAATTTCAAATGACAGTGGTATATAGAATGAATTGGGGGAAGAGAGTGGTAACTGATTTTGATTTTAAGTGGTGGTTTACCATAGTTGTGAAACCAACTAGTTGACATATTGGTGTGAAGTGACAAAGGAATAAGCTATGGTTTTTGGAATAGAAGGCATAAGTTGGAACATAAACCCGTATTTTATCTTATCTGTGACACCATTGATTATAAGATGTGCTGTTATTTGTGTACTATGAAGAAAGAAAAAACCTTGACGAATGTTGACACAATGCTATCACTTAAAATTTTTATTTCCCCCCCTTTTTTTTTTTTTTTTTTTTTTTTTTTTTTCCCCTGAGACGGAGCCTTGCTCTGTCGCCAGGCTGGAGTGCAGTAACTTGATCTCGGCTCACTGCAACCTACACCTCCTGGGATCACACGATTCTCCTGCCTCAGCCTCTCGAGTAGCTGGGACTACAGGCACATGCCACCACACCCAGCTAATTTTTGTCTTTTTAGTAGAGACGGGTTTTTACCATGTTGGCCAGGATGGTCTCAATCTCTTGACCTCGTGATCCGCTCCCCTCAGCCTCCCAAAGTGCTAGGATTATAGGCGTGAGCCACCACGCCCAACCAGAATTTTTATTTTCTACTTATTGAAAGAACTCTTTCAAGACTTACTTTGACATAGCTTTTAATCGTGTATCATTTTTGTGTATATATAAAAAGGAGAATATAAGTGAAATAAGGTATTTTTGAAATTTCTTCACATTCAGAGTCCAACCCTTTTGAATTACTTCTTGTTTCAGTCATCATTGTCTGTGTTTTTTCATGTAATATTGTTCTCTGTGCCATCATGAAAATGGGCAGTGCCCTATTTCTTTAAAAAGTGCTCTGTTATTGTCTCTGATTTTCCCCCCAAGCAGCAACAGGTTTGATGCAGGTGCTTCTTTTTTTTTTTTTTTGAGATGGAGTCTTGCTCTGTTGCCCAGGCTGAAGTGCAGTGGCATGATCCTGGTTCACTGCAACCTCTGCCTCCTGGGTTCAAGCGATTCTCCTGCCTCAGCCTCCCGAGTAGTTGGGATTACAGGCGCCTACCACCACACCCGGCTAATTTTTGTATTCTTGGTAGAGATGGGGTTTTGCCATATTGGTCAGGCTGGTCTCAAACTTCTGACCTCTGCCCACCTTGGCCTCCCAAAGTGCTGGGATTACAGGTGTAAGCCACCGAGCCTGGCGGTGCTTCTTGATCTTACTAGAAATTGTCATTGGGAAGGTTATTAGACAACAGCCAAGACTCACATTCTCTTATCAAATGGTGCTAAATGATTTGCTGACTAAAAAGGCCAGGGATAGCAAACATGTTGACATAACTGCAGGCCGTGACTGCTATGCCCTGTTATTGCCTTGTCCAAAGCAATTTTAAGATTTATCCTAATTTCAGAAGACAGATAAATATGAAAGAAAAATGTATCTCAGAACTGATAAATCAGATAGAATTGAAACACTAGGTCAGTAATTCTGAGAAAGTTACTTAACTTTAGTAAGCAAGCTTAGATAGAAATGCTCCAGTTATACCTGAAGTTGTTTTGTTGCAAATTACTCAGGGATGCTCTATCAGCACTAAAAAAGATATTTTAAAGGAATTATATAGCACTGATAAGCTGACTCATAAAAATGGCTGAAATTGTTTGAAACTGGCTAATAAAGAAGTAATAACCTAATGATTCCATTTTTGAATGCTAGGTGTTTCTAAAAGCTTGATAAAATTTGTTTTTATTTTTAAATTTTTACTTATTTATTTTTGAGACAAGGTCTGGCTGTCACCGAGGCTGGACTACAGTGACATGATCTCAGCTCACTGCAACCTCCGCCTCCTGGACTCAAGCCATCCTCCTACGTCAGACTCCCGAGTAGCTGGGACCACAGGAACGCACCACCATGCCCAGCTAATTTTTGTATTTTTAGCAGAGACGGGGTCTCACCATGTTGCCTAGGCTGATCTCAAACTCCTGGACTCAAGGCATCTGCCTGCCTCAGCCTCCCAAAGTGCTGGAATTACAGGCATGAGCCACCACACACAGCCTGTTTTTCTAATATGATCATTCTTCCTATTGGCTTATACCTAATATAAGGATTTAACCTTGTAAAGCTTAAAGTTCTAAGACCAGAACCTAGGTGTATTAGTCCGTTTTCACAGTGCTATAAAGAACTACCTGTGACTGGATAATTTGTAAATAAAAGAGGTTTAATTGACTTATAGTTCTGCATGGCTAGGGGGGTCTCAGGAAACTTAACAATCATGACAGAAGGGGAAGCAAGGCATGTCTTACATGGTGGCAGGAGAGAGAGACAGACAGACAGACAGATACAGGGTGGGGGATGCCAGGGAAGCTGACAAACACTTTTAAACCATCAGCTCTTGTGAGAACTCACTATCACAAGAACAGGATGGGAGAAACTGCCCCCGTGATCCAGTCACCTCCCACCAGGTCCCTCCCTCAACGTGTAGGGATTTCAATAGAGATGAAATTTGGGTGGGGACACAGAGCCAAACCATATCACCAGGCTCGTAAGATTTATTTTTGTGTGTCTGTGAGTAGGCAGCCTAAACACTGTCTAGAATACAGAAACAGCAGAAAATATAATCCTGTAAAGTTGCTGTGGCAACATCAGCTACTTATGTTGCAATAAATGTAATGGCAATAATTTTTTAAACTTTCCTTTTTATTAGAGACCAGGATAAAACTGAATCTCTGGAAAGATAATGAGTCTAGAAATTTGTGCTATTTTTCTCTCATTCCCTTATTGACGTATTTGGAGGATTCTTCAATTGTAGAAGTTGTACTATGTAGCCAGTAATAATATTTATTTTTTCAGATGCTTGGGGTAGAATATGGGAATTTTTCTTTTTTCATCCACATAATGAGATATTTATAAGTAAGTGTGTAGAGTCCAACCCACTCACAGATAACCCAGGATTCAAACGTTGTTGGAACTTCTAGACAAACCTCATTTTCTCTTTTCTTTTCTAAAATAATGCCTTGAGCCCAGAAAGCAAGTTAATTTCCTATCCCCCTTGCCACATTTCCATAATTCCATGGCTTCTTTGTTATTCTCAGGGGTTTCCTCATCCCCCTTGTGTATCCTCCTAAGTGAATGAACCCATTTTTCCCCCTCCAAGTTCCAGGCATTCAGATGAACCCATTATATTGGTGGTTGGAGGACCCAGCATCTGTCCACCCTTTCTGTTCATAATAGAAGAATGTGTGCATGTCTCATGTGTAACCATTAAGTTTTCTGTCTTTTGAGAAATATTTCACTGACTGGTGGGAATGCAGACAACGAACAGCAATATCTGGTTCCAACCTGGGCTAGACCTAAAGGCATCGTGGGTTGGAGGTTCATTTCTGTCACCGGGGCCTACCAGAAGGAAGATTTGACCTGTGAGGCTCCCTCTGGCCCGGGTCTTACCGGTAGTGGCACTCAGCTACAAAATACACCTATCATTTTTTTTTCTCTGATTCTTTTCAGTCCAGTCTCTTGTACGCATGAATCTCCTGTCTATTTGGTAGTCTGGCTTTCCAGGAACCTAGCAGCAGTTTTGAATGAATAGGTTACTAGGAGTTTTAGAATTGTAAATCCTTGAAGATCTTGAAAATGATTTTGGTGATGAGCTGCCACAGCTGGCTGTTCATCCAATGGCCCCGGGAAATGCAGAACCGTGAATACCATGCCTGATAGACCCAGAACAGGCAATGGCACCTTCATTGAGAAAACATGATTTTAACTGAGAAGCAGTATTTCTGGAAAAAATTTCCACTGGCTCTTCTATTGTTGTTACCTGTAATTTCATCATCTTTTCATTTAATTCCATTCAGCATGATGTCTTTGGGACCAGTGGGTATTTGTATTTGCTTATAGAAGTGTTTGTTCTTAGGGCTATGCAATGGCTCGGAAGGCCAGCCCCACCCACTCTCTTGTTGCTTGGCACCAATCCTCCCTGGTTGTTGGGCATCTTGTTTACCTCTGCCCTTAATTCCCTGCAGGTGCGTAAGTACAAGAGCATGATCCTGGAAGACCTGGAGTCTGCTCTGGCAGAACACGCCCCTGCGCCACAGGAGGTTAACTCAGAACTGCCACCTCTCACCATCGATGGAATTCCAGTCTCTGTGGACAAAATGACCCAGGTAAGAGGCGGGAGGTGAGGAGGAGACACAAAGACAAGTGGCACAGGTGTGGGCGGGCCTCTGATCTGACCAGGGTCTGAGATACAGATTGGAGTCTGCTGAAACAGTAGCAGCCTTGGAAAAGACACTGCAGTGCCAGAAGACTGCTCCCAACCAAGAGCATGGCTGTGGTCTCCTCTTTCTTCTGGCAGCTTTTTTTTTTTTCTTTCACTTGGGCCTTTGGGTTGGATTTAGAAAAAAAAAAAGAAAAGAAAAGAAAAAGCTTTTAGCTTGGGGTTGGTCTGAGAAGAACATTAGGAGTTTGATGAATCACAGTCAAGGTGGGCAAGTAAACTTTTAGCCTCTCAGTCTGCTCTGCTCCTATTTCAATGACAATTCTGAATACTACCATGTTATCACTAAGTACAGCTCCCTTCCCCAAGAAATAAGAACGTAAAACTCAGAGTAACAGTCTTCTGAATCACTGATTTCCTCTTCCTTTTAAAAATTTTTATTTAAATTTAAAAATTTTTATGATTTCTAAAGATGGAGTCTCACTGTGTTGCCCATGCTGTCTCAAACTACTAAGCTCAAGCAATCCTCCTGCCTCGGCCTCCCAAGGTGCTGGGATTATAGGCGTGAGCCGCTGTGCCAGCCTGATTTCCTCTTCCTTTAAGAAGGGAAGTCAAAATTGCTGGGTGTAGTGGCTCACACCTGTAATCCCAGCACTTTGGGAGGCCGAGGCAGGTGGATCACCTGAGGTCAGGAGTTCAAGACCAATCTGGCCAACATGGTGAAATGTCTCTGCTAAAAATAAAAAATTTAGCTGGATGTTGTGGCAGACACTTGTAATCCCAGCTACTCAGGAGGCCGAGGCAGGAGAATTGCTTGAACCTGGGAGGCAGAGGTTGCAGTGAGCTGAGATCATGCCATTGCACTCCAGCCTGGGCAACAAGAATGAAACTCCATCTCAAAAAAAAAAAAAAAAAAAAAGGAAGTCAGCACTTAGCCTGATAAATCAGCATACCTCAGAAATTTTTATGAGATTATCTTTTTTATATATTTTTAGTTTAGCTTAATCAAAATCAAACACCTTTTAACATATTTTCTCATCCTATTTCTTTTTCTTTTTTTTTTTGCGACAGAGTCTCGCTCTGTGGCCCAGGTGCCTTTGCCTCCCAGGTTCAAGCAATTCTCGTGCCTCCAAGTAGCTGGGATTACAGGTGCAGGCCACCACACCTGGGTAATTTTTGTATTTTTAGTAGAGATGGGGTTTCACCATGTTGGCCAGGGTGGTCTCAAACTCCTGACCTCATGCGATCCACCCACCTTGGCCTCCTAAAGTGCTGGGATTACCAGCCATCACGCCTGGCCCACCCTATTTCTTTATTAATGTTCTCTTGTCTTGCAAAATCCACTTGTCAGGTTTTTTCCTTACCTTATTCAGTCTTCAGCAGTGTTTGACACAGTTGATTACTCCTTAAAGCATTGTCTTCTGTCTATCTCTTCACCTCAGCCTCTTCTGAAGATCCTCAGTCCTCACTGAGTGCTCCCCTCATCCCTTCTGCTGGCCCCTCTGCCTCTTCTCACCTGATCATCAATAGGCTGTTTACACCCAGCTTACTCTCGCTGTTAGATATAGCTCACACCTGTGATCAAGGGTACCTCACACACCTCAAACAGAACCTTTGGTTGTTCCTACTCTCCACTCCACATCCCTTCCTCTCCAAGTGTTCCCCATATCAGTTAATGGGACTACTATCCATCTCGTTGCTCAGGGCCCAGCATTAAGTAATCCTGATTTCCCTGTTTTGCCCTCTCCCTCCACAGTCCCTTGTCACCCTCCACGGTCCCTTGCCACCCTCCACATCTAATTCAGCAGCAGGCCATGTCAGCTCACCTCTGAAATGTACTCTGACTCTGGCCATTCTTCTCTGTTCCCATCAGCACCCAAGCCCAAGCCTTTAGCATCTCTCATATAGTCTGTCTCAGTAGCCATTGGTGTCCCTGTTGCCACTGTGGTCTGCTATAGTCCATTCTCCATGTTGCCATCATAGTAGTTTTTTAAAAAATTTAAATCATGCCGGGCGTTGTAGCTCACATCTATAATCAAGAAGGAGGAGCCCTTGAGTCCAGGAGTTCGAGATCAGCCAGGGCAGCAGGGTGATTTTTGTCTCTACAAAAAAATACGAAAATTAACCGGGCATGGTGGCACATGCCTGTAGTCCCAAATACTTGGAAGGCTGAGGTGGGAGGATCGCTTGAGCCCAGGAGGTTGAGGCTGCAGTGAGCCGAGATTATGCCACTGCACTCCAGCCTAGGTGGCAGAGCGAGATCCTGTCTCAAATAAATGAGTAAATGAATGATGAATTATTTATTTATTTAATTCCGGCCATATCACTTCCTAGTTTAAACTCTTTAATAGTTTTCAGCTATTTCTAGAATCAAATTCAGACTCTGCTGTGGCCTTCAAGGTCCTATGGTAATCTGGCCTCTTCCTGCCTCATCTTGTTCTTCCCCTCAGTCACTGGACTCCGGCCACTCTAGCCCTCTTTTCCTCAAACACCCTGCATCCATTCTTTGGCTTTTGCTATTCCCTTTGCCTGAATATTGTTCTCCCAGATGATCGCATGATGGACTCTCTCTTATTCATAGTCTAGCTGAAATATCACCTCCTGAGACAAGCCTTTCTTGATTATCCCACCTAAATGAAGCTTTCTTCTCCCCACCAAGCCACTAATACATCCTCTGTGTTCTTGTCTGTGTAACACTTGTTACTACCTGGAATTATCTCATTTATTAACTTTTATACTTATTTGTGTTCTGCCTTCCCTGCTAGAATTTGAGGAATTTAGTTTCTATCTTTTACTTATGTTCATTATAGCCGCTCAGCCTCTGAAATAGCATGTCATGTAAATAATAGTATCTGTTCAGTAAATGACCACAGGATTAGAGCAAAAGTGAGTTAAGTGTAGTGGTGGGGAAGAGGATTGGCAGGTGCCCACGTCCCCTGGGCAGGTTTTTACTCAGTGTGGACACTGATGCTGCTGCACAGGGGTGGCACTTTTCTTTTTTATTCCATCTGGACCAGCAACTTGGTCTGAAGTAATACTACATTTTATAAATATAAAGCTAAATAGTGATCTTTTGCTTGTTGGATTCATAGCCCTTTCTGTGGACACTGGAAGGATCTCTAAACCATTGTTCAGAAAGGAAAGCATTGTCTAAACCAAGCTTGTCCAACCCACATCCTGTAGGACGCTTATGGCCCAGGATGGCTTTGAATGTGGCCCAACACAAATTCGTAACTTTCTTAAAACATTTTGAGATTTTTTGGCGATATTTTTTTCTTTAGCTCATCAGCTATCATTAATGTTAGTGTATTTTGTGTGGTCCAAGGATAATTTTTCCTCCAATGTGGCCCAGGGAAGCCAAAAGATTGGGCACCCCTGATCTGAACTTTTTGTTACTGTCTTTTTACAGCTTCTATTATTCTGTTCCTGGAGGCATTCTGACTGGTTCATGTAAAGAAAACATAAAGTGAATTATTTTTATCTGGTTGATATAAAGAATCTATTCTATCTAAGATGTAAAGTACATCTAAAGCTGCCTAAGCCTTTGGTTTCGAATACTGTGTTAGGTAAACTCCTGTGATGGGTATTTTTTTATCTTTGTCACATTTGGTGTGTTAGGGTAAAGCAGTCTGAGGTTTTGATTATATTGAATCATTGTGGATACTGGCTTTTATGAAAATTGGCCAGTGGCCACAGAAGTCAGAGCAAACAGTTTAGTTGTTGTCATTTTGGAGCTAAGACAGTTGAAAGTGTTGTTTTCCATTTTTGTCAAAACTGTACTCAGTAGAGCTTGGTGTGGTGGTGGGAGCCGGTTCTCAGTTGTCAAATACATAGATGCTTTATTGGAGCATTTCCTGTATCATAAGCTCCCTCCTTCCCCTTCTTACCAAAGATGATGACTAAAAAGTCAAACATAACAAATACAACGAAACAAACAAATGAGAAGGAAGAGTGAGCAGGGTGATGAAAAACCCAGCTCCCAATTGAATGGGAATTTCCACGTGTTTGGATCCTGGCATTTTCTCCCCCTCACCGTCTTATTGTTTGTTTTGTTTTCCTCAAATACTTTTTTCTTAACCTGAGCTAAATAGCTTCCTTTTATAATTGATCCTAAAGCCTTTCACTATTAAGGGGAGTAAAAGGAGGGTTTTTTTTCCACCCAAACCTAGATAGGCAAGGGTATATAGGACTACAAGCAGTTTAATACAATTGGTAGAAATGCAAATTGGTATACTTTCTCTAGAGCACAGGTTGGCAATGCATATCAAAGTCTAAAACGTGTATATCATGTCCTCCAATTAAACACAGATGTAATTGTTTATTACAGCATGTTTACAATAGGAAAATTTGGGAACAGTGTGATTGGTTAAGTTACAATAGTGTTTAGAATTTATATAAGAAGAAGAGCAGCATAGCCCAAAAGAGATGATTCAGTGAACTATTAGACACTAAAAATGATGATTTGCTCTTTATTACAGTAGAATAACATTTGTGGTATATTAAGTTTAAAAAAACTGATTGTAAAGTAGTATTCCTTTTTTTCTTTCTTTTTCTTTCTTTCTTGCCTTCTTTTTTTTTTTTTTTTTTTTTTTTGAGGCAAGGTCTCGCTCTTTTGCCCAGGCTGGAGTGCAGTGGGATAAACTCGGCTCACTGCAACCTCCGCCTCCTGGGTTCAAGCAATTCTCCTACCTCAGTCTCCTGAGTAGCTGGGATTACAGGCACCTACCACCATGCCCAGCTAATTTTTTTATATTTTAGTAGAGACAGAGTTTCACTATTTTGGCCAGGCTGGTCTCGAACTCCTGACCTCAAGTGATCTGCCTGCCTCAGCCTCCCAAAGTGCTAGGATTATAGGTGTGAGCCACTGTGCCCGGTGTACCATTTCTTATATACCGTAATTTTAGGGGGTTAGGGCTTTATTTTTCTGTTTCTTTTGGGAGATTTTAA